AATCCGATTTCCAAAGAGGAAGAGCAGACTGGCTGATGGTGCTTTCTGCTGGGGGAGGGGAAATCAATCTGATTTGCAAATGTTGCAAAAACTGTAAACTGGTTTCAGCTACTGCTACAGGAAAGAACCGCTTTTGCTGAGATAAAGAAGTATTGCTGGGGTGATACTCACAAGAACCAAAAGCAGGCAGGAAACCCTTTAAAAAGACACAAGTCTTCTCTCTCCTCTAACCTCACATTCTTCCCCCATTACCAGTATTGGTAAATCATAATGCAAGGCTGGCTGGCAAAGCAGAAATGGGGTGTGCAGAGTCTCAGTGCCAGCATCACAAAGATGGATATAGGAAAGAGAGTATGGAATACAGAGACAATGCATTAATAACTGGCACAACAATGATGCCTCCTAGCTCTTTCAAAATCTCATGGAAAAAAATAGGATTCTATCCTTCTGAAGCAAAATGTCAATTAATTTTTTTCTTAAAAAAAAAAAAAAATTCCAGGAAAGGAGGTATTGTGAATCAGTTTCTTAAGAACCATTGGCTCAGTATTTAAAGTTTCAAGCTTTTTTATTTCTGATTTTTAGGAAAAACTGTATATTTAATAAGTCAGTTTTGCCTCATAAAACCTCTCAATTTTTTTCCTCATCAAAAAAAGGTCCTGAAATTTGAAATGTCACTATTAGAATTCATTTTGTGCCTAGATAATGACAACTATTAAACTATAACTCAGTGTTAGGTTTTCACATGAGTAAAAGACTCTTAAAAATTGGCTAAGATACAAATAAACATTTATTTCTCTTATGTAAATAAGGCCCAAGGAAGACACTCCAGAGCTTCTATGATGGCTCTAATATTATCAGGGACCGAAGTTCATCAGCATCTCTACTCTGTCATGTCAAGGGTTACACGAATGTAATCTGGCCCAAGATGGCTGCTAGAGCTCCAGCCATCAGTTATCAGTATGAAGGAAGGGCAGAGGAGCAGGTTGTGTCCCCTACTTTTCAATAGGAGTTTTTACAAGTGCCACATAATATTTCCACTAGCTACAAAGAAACCTGTAGACTTTTGTCTGGGTAATCATGTGCCCAGCTAGAAAGTGGGGCTCTGTTAACTTGAGAGAACTTGCACAGAGTAACTATTGGTAGGGAACTAGCTGTCTCTGCCAGACTCTGGGAGGGATATTACCTCATCAATCATAATTCTTGGTGTAAAAGAGTCTATCAGCTCTTTTCTGAAAGCAAGATTTCATTGGTAAGGAAGACTGGAGTGTATATGAGGGTACCAGGCAGGGGAGGCTACTGAATGGGATGGATGGAAGATATTGAAGACAAACCTCTATTTTATAATTTTACTCAGAGCCAGCATAAGTCCCAACTCCACCTTTTCTTATTTATTCATTTGTCCATTTAAAGAATTTGGATTCTATACTAACAGAGAAAATGTCATGTATCCATGTTTATTTTGTTTTAAAGAGCTAAATTATTTTTCAAAAGACTTCATCACACTTCTGCTTGTGTTCTTTCCCCTCTTTTATAGAGAAACACCTCCTAATGCTAAGATGAGTTTTGGATTTTCATGGTTATTATATTCATCTTTGTGAGTTTGTCTCTCCCTTCCCATGAACACCAAAGGGCATGGAAAAATGGCATCATATTGATAAAACGTGATGCCTTCCAAGACATTCTTTAAACAGCCTATTTGCAAATATGGTCAAAATGAATAATTCAGGCCAGTTGGAGTGAACATTTCTCCATGGATGCTTGGGGTGAAACTGGCTGGCTTTGCAAAGTGGTTCTCTTTATAAACTAGCAACATTGCTTTACGATGTATCTGGGTGACAGGCCAAATTCTTAAGTGATTTAAGTATATGTATTTAGTATTTTCCAGCACTCTCACTTTTAGAACTAACTTATAGGATAGAGCAGCTGACTGTGCTGTGCCTTGTCACATTGCCTTAGCAGAATCACTGGCAGAAACATCATAAATTTCTCCAGTTCCCCAAAACTTCACTGGCTTCTAGCTACCTCATCTTCCATACATTGATACATTTAATCACAATAAGACAATTTTCAGGAGGACACTGGAGGAAGAAAGAGGATGATTAAAAAAGAAAAGATGAAGATTCAATGGGAATTTTATGATGCTTTGTCATTTTTGCTGCAGAGAAAATATTTGTAGTGCACAAGCACCTGCATGCATAAAGATCCATCCCTAATCAAAATAGTGACAGGGCTGCAAACTGAATGCCCTCTGACCTCTTTGGGAAGCCTTCACTTTCACCCTGCAGCCAATTCCTCTCACCCACCACCTGCAGGTAGTAGTGTAGATTTTTATTAAGGATACTGGTGAGATCAGGAAAGGGTTATGTATTGCACACCACACAGGGAAAAACTTCATCTAGAAAACCATTCACAGCAAAATAAAGTGATCCCTATCGCTTAAGGAAAAACGCTGTCTTCAGTAACCTGTTTCTCACCTGCTTTTTCCATCTTGGAGATTTCTCTTCTTCTGTGCCCTATTCCCCTCCTCCCTTTCACCTCTTCCTTCTTCTAAAAGGGAGCATAAAAGCAGGTGAGAGCTTAGTTACCTTCCCATGGGGCATATGAATCGTACATTAAAACAGGGATAAAAAACTTAAGAGAAGCAGCTCTGCCGGTGGAATTTTAGGCAGAATGAATAATGGAAAGAGTCGAGCACTGGAGCCAAAGAGAGCTGGAATTGATTCCCAGTTCTGTCATTTAGAAACTGACTGTCTTGGGCAAGTTACTTGCCTCTTCTGAGTCACAGTTTCTTCATTTGTAAAAAGAAAATAATAATACCTGCCTCATAATCATTTGAGAATTAAATGAAATTATGTAAATAAAAATTAGTACAATATCTGATGCATAGTTGGCACTCAGTAAATATTAGTTCTCTCACTTTATGATTAGGGAAAGATGCAGGAGGTGTTGGAGCAAGTCATGGGGCTTTCTCAGAATTCTCACCTCCAGGGAGCAGTGTGGGGAGGGGGGGAGACTGCAAGCAAGTCTAGGGAAATAAGCTCATTTGATCGCATTGATTTTTCCAATCTGTCTCCTTAAGTACTTTTGCTGTCTGCAACTTCCTGGTATCAAGGAAAATGGGAAACTGAACCAGGAGATCCTTGGTGAACAAGAAATCAGAACCAAAAAAGCAGAGTGGTTTGGAGGATTATTTCAGTCATGTGCTGTTTAAAACCTGATGAAATAATTTTACTGGATTCTTTGTGTTCTCTAGAGCCATTTTCTCTTAGGATGGTGATGATCAAGTGATAAATTTTGTTCCTTCAAGCTTCATTTTCTGTGTTGGTCATTCTGTTTGGGGCCAACACATTCTTTTGTCACATGTGTTAATATCACTGTCCTAGGATCTGTCAAAATGAAGAATAACTTCCTTTTCTGTGCCAGACCTGATCTTAATTGCAAAGATGTAGACCTTTCTTGGCACCAAAATACGGGAACTGGTCGCATATCTCACAGCTCTTTTTGTCCCTTATCAACCGCAATGCCCAAACAGTGTTTTGATATTACCAGTACGGCTGTCCTTGCTGTGCCTGAAGCCGTGTCTGCTGTGGTCTGCAGGGTCCAGCCTCAGATCAGGTGCTTCTCCCTCTGTGAATAGGAACCTCTAATCCGGAGTGAGGTCATCCTTCAGGAAATGAAGAAGGTCCTAAGACTTTTGAAAATTACCTTTCTTGAGCTAGATTGTAGACCTGGGATAAAACTGACTCATGCCTTTACCCAAGGTAAAAACTCCTTTGGCTTCTGACCATAATGAGATCTTATCAGCCCTTTCTTCTGGTTTAATAAAATTGTTGGCCATGTTTTTTACAAAAGGTATTTTGAAAATACATAGATAGATAGATAATATCTATATAGAGATATATCTATATAAAACAAGAATGTGAACACAATAGCTATAAAAAGAGCATCAAGTGAAGTCTGAGCATCTTCATCCCAGGAAAGATGTACAGATACACTGCCAGGAAGAGTATAGCCCTGGGCTTGACATCTTGGCTTGACAGTTACGGCCACAGTTTAATAATACTCCCGTCCCATGATGAAGAAGAGTGGATACCTGGTAGGTTACAAGAAGTTTACCTGTCTCTGATGGTTTCCCTGATAATCCTCCTATTCACTATTGAATTACTTCTTCTGCCAGTTCTTAACCCTAGGCCCATGGACACTCAAAAATTCTAGCATATTACTATAGCTCAAGTAAAAGATAAACCACAACTAAAAATATTTGATAAATTATTTCAATAAAATTAGTTTCACTTGTACTAGTAAGAATTTTATTTTTTGCTTTTAAAATTATTATTCTGGGAAGAGGTCCCTAGGCTTCAAAGAACTGACAGAGGAATCCATGGCACTAAAAAGAATCCCTAAGGTAGTAGAAGGAGGTCTTTTTACATTATCTGCAGTTTCATTAATCTAATTTTCAGAGGCCTTGGTTCTCTCCTCCACGATCTCACCACCATGCCTCTTGGTTTGTGCCATATATGTCTGTGATGTGCTATTAATGTCCATCTTCCTTTGGGCAGAACACTACTTTCAACACAGTAACAGTGCAATTCATAATGGAATTTTTTTTTCGTACTTATTTCAACATTTACTGAACAAATCCTAAGTGCTAGTTACTATGCTAGCCAAAGAGGATACTAGGTCAAAAAAAAAAAAAAAAAAAAAAACTGTTCTTTATCAACTTAAAATCTAAGTGTGTGTCTGTGTGTGTGTATGTAATAACTTCTTGATTTATGTTTCCCCTGCAGATCTTGGAGGCATCTGAGGTTTCATGGGGACTTTCCAACATTCCAGACTGCTGCCTTGCAATGAAGCTCTGAGTCACTGTCTTTGGGTCTAAGGTACTGGCTACAATGTGGAACCCCAGAACAGCCAACCTGACTCACCTTCTCTCTAAGCAGAAGCCCAAAATATGTCTGGCCTGAAATCAGAGCAAGCACTAGAGAAAGACTTCTTTGTTAATGGAAAGAGGAAAGGAGAAAACGGTTTCCAACACGTTGCAACAATCTTTCCACCATTCTAAAGAGCCTACCTTCCTTATAAACCAAGCTGTTCTATCTAGTACATCCCTTTCTAGCTTTTTGCCAGAAATTGAGCATGTCAACCCTGGTGAAAAAATAAAGACGGACCCTCAGAAAAATAGACCTGGAACTGTAATACTCCTAAAACGGTCCAGTAGGAGGATTATGTCGGAAAGTCAGCCCAGCCCCTCTGTGATCCCATCCCGCAGGCCCGGGTTCCAGGTGTGCCATATCTGTGGCCGAGAATTTGGGTCCCAATCGCTTGGCATTCACGAGCCCCAGTGCTTGGAGAAGTGGCATACTGAAAACAGCAAGTTGCCCAAGCATCTGAGGAGGCCAGAACCTTCCAAACCACTGCCTCTCAGTGGAAGTGGATCCTACAATCTTCAGGCAGCATTCCAGAGTTCCCAGGCTCAGCTGCTGCCCTGTGAATCCTGTGGTCGCAAGTTCTTGCCAGATCCGCTTCTTGTTCATCAGAGAAGCTGCAAGCCGAAGGGTGAGGGGCCCAGGGCACCAAACCCCAACAGTTCTGATAATCTTGCTGCTCTCAAGAAAGCTTCTGGTGGCATCACAACCCGACCAAGGGCTCTCATCTGCTACGTCTGTGGTAGGGAATTTGGCACTCTGTCCCTTCCTATACATCAGCCCAAATGCCTGGAAAAGTGGAAAATAGAAAATGACCGGCTCCCCAGCGAGTTCTGCCAGGCACTACCGCGGAAGCCTCAGCCCCTTCCAACTGGACAGTCCAACCAAGAGGGGCCGAGTCAAGCTCAAGCTCGTACCCTGCCCAAATTGTAGCCGGACCTTTGCCCCTGACAGCTTTCTGGTGCACCAGAGAAGTTGTACAGCTCAACCTAGTGGGCCAGAAGTTCAAGATTTGACATTATGGAGTAAAGGTGGCCTCAAAGAGTCCACTAATTCCAAGCAGCAAAGGAGCATGGCAGTACCCACTGTGACTGATAAGGTAATTCGTGCCACATGATATGCACTGGGTGGGACTAGGGGTACATTCTGCCTCCAGGGGAATGAGAGAAAAATGTCCCCAGCATCAGCTCCCTCAACTCTTAGGATGGTTTCTTTCAATGCCTTATTTCTGCCTCAGTGCAGCCTAAGTTGACCCCCTGTCAGACTCCAGGGCTATATCTCTGTTGGCAAAGTAGATTTAAAAACACCCTTGCCTGGTGGATTCATAGTCTCCTTCCATTCTGCTGCCTGAAAGAGAGATGGACTTCTTTCTTCCTTGATCCCTCATACCAATAATCCTTGGGAGAGACTGGTATTTGAAAATGAGTCAGTAATGCTGTGTCTACATTACAGAGAAATAATTCCCATTCCAACAGCCAATATTTATTACTGGTTTATTTTAGTCATCTACCTTAGGAATTCATTTTTGGCCATGCTGGTTATACTGAGTTTATCGTACTAAAATAAAATCTGTGTCAAAAACCCCAAATGACTTTAGCATAATTAAACACTGGAGCACTTGCAGAAATAAACATGCTTTAAAATGCAGCATGTTTTCTTTTAACACTTATATGGTTGTAGTATCTGGGGGATTAACCCCAGTGCAGACCCAAAGCCAACTAAGTGTGTTCATGGATCTAGGAAGTGCTCAGTTTCTGCTGCTGCTCTGTACCCTGTGTTTGGGTCAGACACCAGGCCATGACTTGGGCAGTTGTAAATAAGCATGACCCCAGGGATCCCCAACCTGTATGGTTAAATGTTGTTGGGCCTTCACCTGAAATTTCATCATCAACCAGGACGGGGGAAGGATGCAAGATAGAGTGTGGTCCATGTGTTTTGTCCTTCCATGAAGCCAGGGAAGGGGTTGTGCTGCCATGTGTCACACCTTACAGAACATCAAGTCGTGAGAAATAGGAGGTGGTCAAAGGCTTTTCTCTGTGACTTGCTACTTGAAATGTCCCACCTGCAGGAGTTTTTTAAACGAACTGTTCTCAGGAAACTAAGGTTACCCAAGCTATTGCAAAAATTAAACCAGAGGGATTGGGGGATGGGTAGCCATACTTCATTTTTTACCTAGTTTTTCTTCGTTACTTCTTTTATTGCATTACTTTGGCAAATGTCGGGTACTTTTTCCTAACTTCTATGTTTAAAATGAAATCTTTAAGTGAGATCTTTCACTTACTGGTTTAGAAGGTTCCAAGACAGTGATCTTAAAGCTGAAGAGTCAGACTAATGGGCATATTTTCCGATGAAATTGAAAAAGAACAGCTAGTTTCTTTGCCGAATGAAAACCCAAACTCGTAAGTGTGGCATGGGCTTCAGGCTGGTCTCATAAACATGAACTGTTTTTCTCATCTTCTGGCTGTTGCTTTTCTTCCAAAACGTGTGGGGTCTGGATCCAGTGAGAAAAAGAATCCATGTCTTAGAGCCACAAATCTGAAACTCCGTTAGTGTTCTGACTTTCTGCCCTGTTTCCTGATTGTATGCATTTGCTTTAAGTGTTCTCATTACAGATCTCAAGATAGGAAAGAGTGTGGTCAGGATTCTCGTGCTTGCTGCTGTAACACATACTTTGTGCTCCCAAGAGTGGAGCCAGCAGGCTGAGCATAGCGTGTTCTCACTCAGTCACGACTGCTGAGAGAGGCTGGCCTGGGCCCCTGGCTTCACAAGAGGACACCCCTGACTCACTCAGTCATCTGCAGGGGAGAATGTCAGGAGGAGAGGCCAGTGAGGGCTGTCGGTGACTTGCGCTTTGAGATCAGAGTAGAGGGAGTCCCTTGGAACAGGGGCATCTAGAGGACACGGCTCTGTCAGAGTATGACCAACTCTGCTCCCGACCTGAAAAGGTGCGTGTCAGTGAGAAACTGGCACCCACTGCCATCAGATGTGTGCTGGCCCTTTTGGGGACCACACAGGCTTTAGTGGAGGGCATAGAAATGTCATCCAACATAGGGTCCCTTTAGCTGCCAGATTTGGAGCAAGCTTGGGTTCATTAAAATGGAGAAAACTCCTAGTCTTCTGAGAGGCATAAGATCTCTTGAACCAACAGACTTTATCCCTTCCCTTGAAAAGACATTTGCCACTGCATTGTGCTTTCAGCAGAAAGCCTCTCCTGGGTAGTGTAGTTTTCTCCTTTGGTTGCATTTTGACCCTGTCTATTGCTGTTTTTCTATCTTTGTATCATTTAAGATTTAGATAGTGCAGTGAATCATTCATTTCCATAAAGATCACTGCCTTGTGCATTATTAGAGTTCAGAATTTCATCTGCCTGTGGCGGCCAGCTTTTGGCTGACTGTGAGACACATGCATTGTTTTTTTCAATTCAGATGTTTGCTTCCTCTCTTCTCATGTCAATCAGAACAATTTCCCTCTAGAATCCTTGTTCTGACTTCAGATTAGAATCAGCGATCTTGCCCAATGTTCTCAGGGAGCTCAATCTTGTAGTGAACTCAGGTGAGAAAAATATTTTCAGAATCATGATCACAGAACTTGGAAACAACTCATTGCAGTTGGGCAACAGTGACTGTTCCGCTGGCAGAGTGAATTACCCTCCGCTCGGAATGTTCCTCCTACATAGATTGGCTCAGTTCTCTGATGACACAGATGCTCCTGTTACCCGTCAATCAAATCTAAACAAACAAACGCCGCTAAGACGGTCCTCCTCCAAGTCGTCGATGGGCATTCTGTGCCACCTCTGCTTTGCCCTCTCACCACTGAATGGGCTTGAATTGTTCCGTTCCTTCTCATCCAAAACGTAGGGCTGAATTCACTCTCTCTGATCTCACAGTGAAGTTGTGAAGGATCCCAAGCAGCATTGTAAGAGGAATAAAACCGTTGATGTGGATTTTTGTTTAAAAGGACCTAGAACCTGTCATACAGAGTGAAGTAAGTCAGAAAGAGAAAAACAAATACCGTATGCTAACACATATATATGGAATCTAAAATAAATAAATAAATAAATGGTTCTGAAGGACCTAGGATCAGGACAGGAATAAAGTCGCAGATGTAGAGAATGGGCTTGAGGACACGGGGAGGGGGAAGGGTAAGCTGGGACGAAGTGAGAGAGTGGCATGGACATATATACACTCCCAAATGTAAAATAGATAGCTAGTGGGAAGCAGCCGCATAGCACAGGGAGATCAGCTCAGTGCTTTGTGACCACCTAGAGGGATGGGATAGGGAGGGTGGGAGGGAGACGGAAGAGTGAGGAGATATGGGGATATATGTATACGTATGGCTGATTCACTGTTATACAGCAGAAACTAACACACCATTGTAAAGCAATTATACTCAAATAAAGATGTTTAAAAATAAAAAAATTAAAAAATAAATAAAAGGTGTGACTGCCTGGGGTGTTGCTCTCCCATTATATGGTGTCAGAGCAACATCAAACTCCCCTTTTTGCCTCTAAAAGAAGGAAAGCCTGAACAAACAATATCCAATTTAGCAAGGTTTTAAAAGTAGTGTTAATTCCAGATGAAATTTGATGCATAATATGGAAAACTATAGATTATCATTTTAAATTTTAATATTGCATTTATTTAATGCAACAATTTGATGTCTGTTTTAGCAAGCAGTGGTCTAAGTAATGCTAAAAGTATACAAGAATAGAGGTCACTATTGCCTCTTATTTTAATATGAGTGAATACATTTTAATATTTGCATTTAATATTTGGGAAAATTTTCCCTTTTCTATAAGCTGATAGTATTTCATTCTTTGACTTAAGGCCTTTCTGGCTAATTGGAACACAGATTGACAGAGTTAATTAAATATAACTACAACCTAAAATGAAGCATTTGTTTAATTACCTTTTATTAGTTACATAATGCTTAGGGTTAGTTTCTTAGTATGTTTCTGGTAACATGTGAAACACTGTTTCTAAAAACCCTATACTATATTACAAAATAGGCATTATTTTTCTTTAGGGAATGTCTTTTTTTTTTTAATAAAAGATTCTCTCTCTGAATGTAGTTTTAAGCTACCTTTGGCATCCTTGATGCTCAGGGTTGAACTAAAATCCCATCAGACACATCTCTAGCATCAGGTGCTGCCATCTGGTGTTTTCTTTTAATGTAATTTCTTCTGCACTCAAAAATATTATTGCCTTTCTCTTTGTGTTACCTTCATATTTGAGAACGTGCCCTTATAATACAAACTCAAATTATTTAGGGCTACAGTTTTATATTTGGTTTAATATCATCAGTGCTGTTCCATAGCTAAATATCTCATTCTCTAAAGGCAAACCCCTCAGTGGGAAGGTCACAATCAGAAAGACTCAGAAGGGTAGGATGGATGCTCTCACGTTGTCAAATGGTGTGTGTGGTGTGTGTGTGTGTGTGTGTGTGTGTGTGTGTGTCTATTAGGTAAAAAGTATTTGGATTTTATTAGGAGGAATGGAATAAAGGGAAGTAACTTTTATTAAATATCTTTATGATCAGTACTTCATATACATGTTCTCATTTTAATCGTCGTAATATTACTATATGACAGATATTGCTTCCCTACTTTCCAGGTGGGGAAACTGAGATTAAGCAAGTAGCCCAAAGTCACACAGTGGGCTCGGTAATGGTGTCAGAGCCAGATCTGTCTAATTCCAAAGAACAATACCTTTTTATGTCACTAAAGAGAGAGGCATATGTGTGGTACAAAAAGGGTATGGCTATGCTGCCAAGCTTATAAGTGTTAATTAAGCAGGACAAAGAGGACAGAAGTTTGTTCATTCAATAAATATTTATTGTTAGGCATTGGACTAAGTACTAAATATAGAGTCATAAAAAAGGTAGACACAGTCCTTGATCTCCTGGAGTTTTTAGTCTTATGGAGGAAATGATAGGAAATAAATAAAAATAAATATAAACATTCAAATTGTAATGTGACAGTGTCTAATGGTGGGAGGTGGACATTTAGGTTCTTGGTTAGAGACAACCTCGTGACATTTCAGCTGAGACATGAAAGGTACGAAAGCATTAGCCAATAGTCAGGATGTGAGGGGATGGGAA